TTTTTTTTTCTCCCCCCCATGGATCAGCAACTTTCAATAGGCATAATCTAATTGCTCTTAATGGAAAGGCCATCCGTGAGAAATAGTGAAAATATCCCCTCTGCCTTATAGGTACGAGCATTTAAGACCTAAACATTTAACAAGGCAACAAGAGTTAACAAAATAACACGTCTATTTATTATTACTGGGAACTTTAGGGGGAAAAAAGTGTCCCCACAAAACAGGGAAGTTTAAATTCAAACAGCAAACAGTGTATTTGGATAGATATGACTCTAAGTGTATTATAATAACCCTGTTATTTCATTATTACATTATGAATGACTTTTAGAGTTATTTTTTAGTCCTAAAAGAGGCTTTAGTTTAACTGCAAAATGACATTATCCTGCAGCGTGAATCATCCTAGTTTGCATGTAAATATTGTCTATTTTCTCATTATTTTTTATATGGACTCGCGTCTCCAGAGATTCGCGCTCCTTCAGTTCTGCACGTGATGAATGAAAGTCTCTTTCCAGGGTTTTTGTATCCCAGACTATAATTGAGGACAATAACTGCAACGACTTTCCCAATTAGGCTTGAGGTTGGAGTTAAGTTAGAGGGACTGTCAGTTTATGCTATGGGCAATGGCTTTATTGCTCACTAACCATCATTTCTTTAGAGCCTATGTGCTAATTACTTTGGATGGTCCCAGAGACGGAGATTATAAATCCATTAGCACTGAAACCCTCGTGGTTCCACAGTGCAAACACTGTAATTTTGTAGTACACCAAAAAACCAAACTTTAAGTACCAGGAGCTGGATGAGGGGAAACAGATTTTCACCAGCGTGTGTACTTCTCAGGGATCCAGTGTGAAAGGAAGCCTAGCGTGTATCAATCAGCAGCTGAGCCGCACGCACACACACACACACACACACACACAGCAAGGCAAGAGGAAATTAACTGACATGGGATTTTTTTCTCTTATTTTTACGACTGTCAGTGGTCTTTAAAAAAATGACCCGTTTGCGTCAATTCAATGCAACTTTGCGATCACAAACACAACGCAATTTTTAATATCGTGGGTACTATTTTTCAGTCTCATTCCCCCAAGTGCCTGTCAAATATCCAGGGAGCGATGCAGCCTTAAGGAATAAAGTGAATTAAAACACGACTTAATACCTGTTTGACTGCGTTTAAAGAGGGCAACGCAAAAAAATACTGGGAGCTGAACGGGGGTGCGTGAAGGCATCTCGCCCTTAAGGTAATTTATTTCAGGGAAACCGGGGGCCAAAGGTGGAATTCTTGAGAAATTCAACAAGGATAAGGGAGCTTTAGGAATTCTGCACGCAGATTACCTTTCATCCCATCCTCACATTATCCGACAACACACCGTAGAAATATAGCTCAGCGACAGAAGAGCGAGATTACCCTCCGACACAGAAGAGTGCAAAACCGTTTTTAAGAAGTATTGCGATTATTTGAGGGGGGGTGAAGCGAACAAGAGGAGAGAGACAGAGGAGGAGGAAGGAGGGGAGGAAGGAAGGAAGGAAGGGGGTCAACACGGTGGAGGACTGCTTTTTTTTTTTCTGGCTGATTTCAAGGGGGGCTTAAACAACATAGCTCACCGTTCATGGTGTCCTGTCACTGTCACAGTGGATGGAGGAGCCACCTAAAAAGAGTTGATCCACATTTATGTGTACTGGCATGAATATTTATGATGAATAAATTCATATCAAACTAAATATGAAACTCACAGGGATATAGAAACTAATTATTTCTCTTTTGCCTGTATTGATTTTTCTTACACTGTTGGCTATGAAGCCCTGCATTGATTGCTGACACTAGGTGATACTTTACCACCTTTTTGGTTGAACTTTTTTTCACTTGTTTATCTTGTGGGTTTGTAACTAAGTGAGTGGCATGATATTAGCACTGCACTATTTTCTTCACCCCCCCCATTTTTTTTTCTTCCCAAAACCAACACACAGCAGGGGCTTAATTAGAAATGTAGTGTAGCTGAACCATCAACATGCTGGAGCTGAGAATGACTGAGCACAGTGCTGCAGTCTAGTTTACAGCAGTAAAAAGGAAACAGAAAATAACTTCCCCACTAACTCTCCGAGGCAGTTTGAGTCAAAGACATGTTAGCAACCTTGAAAATATTTTGCGCCGTAAATTAACATACATGGACATGAAGCTTCAATCAAGGCTTTGCTTTAATTTCATCCTCTTTAATTCTTGTGACATATTATTTATTATAATACTAAAATATAGTACATATCAGCCAATGCAGCAGTTGTGTGAAATATATTTGTTTTTTTTTTTAACATATCACATATTTCTGACTGAAATCGATATTTAAAAAAATAAATTAAAACAAAAGATACCTCTTATTCTCCCACACGCCCACACACAGACAGAAGCCTCTTGAGATTTTTGTGTATTTTCATTTGAAAGGAGTGTGTCTGGTGTTTGTGTGTGTGAGGGCACATGTGTGTAAAAAGACAGTGAAGTGAAGGTGTGAAGATGGCCTGTGTTTAGTGTCCAGACCTGGCAGATTGTGACCTTATCAATGTGAAACTCTTAAGATAAATTATTCATAGCACCTGTTTGATGTCTCCGGCCAAAGAATGACAAAGGTGTACGATTTAAGATGCATCTCAAAGCCAAGAATATCAGCCACTGTGCTACCTGTCTGTTTTTACAGCACAAAAAGAGGAGGGAGGCTGAATTTTAAACAACAAAAAATGAACAATTTGTTTTCATACGGGGGGGTGGTTGCAGAAGTGTGACGAGAGAACCGTCATATTAAATAAGGTCATACTACTCATTATTTGTAGCGGGATTAATAAAATCGCTTCTGCATCATTTTCGTGTCCAAGGTGTGGCTGCTGTCAGCCATTGTCTTAATGCCATGTGACTCACAGGTGTCCAGTGTTGTCACTGAAGCAGGCCACCCACATTGTCACTGCCTGCTTTATCCAGTCTTTAATGTGAAACTTGAAGCGGGGAGTTTGTGCGAGTGATTCAGTGGAGCTAACCTTGCCCTGTGTAACCAAGTTTGTGTTGTTTGTCTCCTCACAGGCAGAGAGCGACATGGCGGCCTGGCGTTCGGAAACACACTGGGACATGTCGGTGTGGTGCAAGGACTGACACAGGGACGAGATGTGATTTATGGCGAGTGCCGTTTGATTGTAAGATAGTGACAGTGATACCACTGCTTACGATGACTATTGTGATCACCTGGCAGATATATAAAGTCATACATGTGGTAAATATAGCATAAAAGGTAAATCAACTGTCACTCTCAGAGTTGATCTTAAGACGCTACCCTCACTGAGTTCCACTGCTCAGTTCAGATTTTGTTCTTTTTCATTATGTACATAACTGGAGTGTGTGTTTATCAAGCACAACCCCAGCTTTCCTGCTCTGAAAGGAATCCAAGCATCCTCAAATTCTTTTTCAATGATTTGTTTTGGAAAAAGGCCGTAGTATGCTTTTTGGGAAACTGGCAGCTGATCTTTTCATAACTAGAGGTCAACATAACACTCAGTATTAATAAAACAAATAAGACCAGGATGGATATTAATGATGATATATACAGATGTAGTGCGCATGAGCTCAAGTTATGTGTGAGAGCACGCAGGAGGAGAGACACTCTCACACATGTTTGTATGTTTACTCGTCTCTTCGTGGGTGATAGTCGAGCCAGTTTCCCTCAGATTTTCCCTTTGACCTTTGACCCCAGAGTTGGGGTCAAGCCCTGACAAATGAGATGGTCGAGTTCTGGCCAGAACTGCAAACATTCCACAACAATCTTCTGTCCTCCTCCTCCCTTCTCCTCATATCCGTCATTCCTCACCCCTTTACTCCTCTCAGCGTGTCTCTTCTACGACTTTGAAAGAGTCAGAGAATGTTCTCATTACACACAAACATGTTTTATAGTATTTTGCTGTGGGAATCTTAAAGCACACACCCTTCAAATTAAGAATTACAACACTGGTTAAATTTAATATCCTTGACATCTGCCTTGTTTACAGAAGGAATGAAAACAAAAGAGTATGATCTGAGAGGAGAAGCTGTGGTAAAGATTTGGATATTACAACCCTGCACTTTGAAAGCACACTGTGTGTGTTTGGAAAGCCTGTCAGTGATGTCAAGGATGAGAAATGTTGCAGTGTGGTTTTTTACACACGCTGCTGGCTCTAGCATTTCCGGCAACATTTCTCACTCTGCCTCCCTCACACCATCCGCTCTGCTGCAATATCCCCACATTTTTCCATCCTTTCAATTCTTCCTCTGCCCTCCCTCTCCTCGCCTTCTATGCCCAATCTCGCTCCCTTTACCCTTCCTCTCCGCTGCCCCACCCTGCCTAATCTCAAACTCTCCCTCCCTTCTCTCAGCACATTCACTCACCCCCCCCCTCTTTCTTTTCCTCCACCCACTATTTTCTCTGATTTTCTAACATGCCATTCCACAGAATGCTACCACCTGTGTCTTTAGAAGGAAAAGAAAAAGGGGGGGAGCTATTGGCAGTCCTCCTCTGGAAGCTGGTTAAGGTAAGTGGCACCCCCTATTACAATGACACGGCAAATAATGCTTGTGGTTGTTGTTTCTGTATGAACTTTTTTTTTTGGTGTGTGTGGCTTAAATGGAATGTACCTGGCGTCCTAAGCATCACCGCCCTCCATCAGAGCTCCGGCTAAGAGTCACTGCTGTAAAAACACACGCAGTCACCATCGATGAACGTCAGCAGAGCAGCCACAGTGTCGCAAAGGAGCCTGGAGACCAACAAAGCCGGCTGATACAGTAACATGGATCATGCTCTTGAACTTGCTTCTATAATGATGTAAGATTACTAAAAGGCAATGCAACACAGCAAAAGATCCTAATAAAAACACATCAATCTCGATATGCGCGTATGTGCTTTTTTTCACTCCTCACTCCCACTTGAATTGTGATACCATTTGATGTCGGCTGTTACGTGATTCATCGGAGGGTACAGCTGCTTCACATGGATCTTGGCCTGGACAAGGCTGTTTCCTCACAGGGAAGCTGATCACATGTCTCAATCACAGGGATAGATCTGAGCCCTAATTGGCTGTGCAATGGCGCATCACAATGGTGAATCTGGGTGCATGTTTACAGCTCGCTGCTTTGAATAGCAAGATGGTGGGCTGTGCTGTAGTGTAGTTTTGTCTTCTCAGGCAAGAGGGCAGTGAGCTTCTTGAATATCTGTGGGCGAGGACACCTAGACAGAGGTCTGTTGCAATAATGATCTACAATGTAAAAGAATATGTTATCACGAGGACAATGCACAAAGCTCTTAAACGTCCTATAATGAAGTTGCAACAAGAAAAGAGTTGAGCTTCTGTAAAGCTCTCATATCATACCCCATTCATTACCGTTCTCCCTCCCTTTTCTCACATCCTGGTTATTTCAACACATCAATGACCAGTTTGCTGCCTGTATTTCCAATGTAAATAAATGATAAAGCTTTTGCATCATTCACACCATCAGTCATCAGTTTGGTAGGGCTAAAATAGCATCAAGTGACAGGAAACGGGGGGAAAAAAAAAAAACATGTCGGCATACGTGTGTAATCACGGCCATGGCCATGTCCACGGTGCAGTTTAGTTGACTGTGTTTATGTCCCTTTCCTCCTCCTCCTACTCTGTATGTCCACAGGCAGCTCAAGGATGTAAAGGACGGGCTCAGAGCCACTCGATTCCCTGCCACCACCCACTGTTACCCCAGTGTTACCGAAGCATGGATGTCTGCCCCTGTCCCCCAGGGGCTTGGTCCGCTCTCTCTCTCCCCCACCCTGCCTCAACCAACATGCACCCACCCACCCATCCGCCAATTTCTCCTCCTCCCTGCCTTGCTCCCTGATTCAGTGTGTAAAAGCGCCCCCTGAATGATGGATTACGGTGTCACTGCAGCCTGCGAAGGATTAATTTGTTTCATTGATTTCTCTTTAGGCAGAATGCCAGCGTCTGCCGCTTCCCACCTTTTCCCCAAGACTCGCAGCTGTAATAGACGGTAATGGCCTAAGACAAATCAACCCGTTTCTTGTAAAAATAGCACCAAATAACCCTCCCCACCTTACAGCCTGCACTCTACTCACAAGCACATCAGGGGGTGGTGCGGCGGCGGGGCACGAGGGCTGTTCGATTCATCCTCATCCTCCATCTCTATCACTCTATCTGGCTATCCTTCCATACCACCTTCCCTCCTTATCCTGTGCTGAGCCAGAGGAGACCATCCAGTCACTCTAACAAAGCCATAAGTCTGCCGTACTTACAGCTCCCTCTCAGGCCTCACAATGGATGGGTAATGACAGCACTGTCTGGAGGGGGCTGTGGGAGTTGGGCCATTCTCTCCAGTAATGGAAGCTGTTACTGCCATTCCCTACACACCTGCAGGAACAGCTAACTGTTAACCACTGTGATCTATGGCAAGGCCTTACCACACTAGGCTAAGGTTGAAGGGTTGCACTGACACGGGTGAATTAGGGCGTATCTGCACGACACGTCTTTTTTCCTGTCTTTTCTATGGTGCATGAAGTTATTCTTTTTTACACTAAGAGCTATGGCAAAGCATTGCAGTTATTTATAAACAAATCTGTATCAATGAATCAGTGTTGGTACAGCTCTCAGCACCGCAGACTGACAATCTAGCATTCCTGACATTCACTGATTTAACACAGACATAAGATGCTGCCACATCTTTACTACTCTGTCACTGCTTTGAACGATGGGAAACCCAAACTGCCTGTAACATTAAGCACACCACTACAGGCTGACTGTCCTCGAATGCTTTCCAGTCCCACAGAGATTTATGAGCAGAACCACATCCATTAATCCATTGTTGATTTGCTGTGGCTGCCCTGCAGGGTTTTTGGGATCAGATATCATACAGTGCTGAAACTCACCCCGCTGTGCAGGAGGGTAGATCGTAACACCCTTACCTGTATTAAAAAAAATTAGAAATAAAATCCTGCGCCATGAATTAGGAAATGAAATATACCAAAATCTTTCTGCAGTTTTTAAATTTATGCAGCATTTGAAATGTCAGCATGTTTACCACTTTAGCTTCTTTCACACACAACCTGACAGATTTGCACTTTTGATAGAAAACACTGTCACTTACATTAAAAATGACAGCATAAAAAAAAAAAAGAAAAAAAAAGACTTACAATCCACAGAGGCCTCAGTACGAGTGAATTAGAGCTGCTATACAATGTGATAATGACCCAGGCTGCAGGGAAATCTCATCAGCTCCCTGCAATCAATTTAACAGTGTTTACAAAGCCACAAGCTGAGGTTGGTGCTTGGGGACAGAGCACTGGTCACCTGGTGTTCCGCTGGATTCCCCTGCTAAGCTGGCCTCTCCTGGGTAAACCTCCACAAAGCCCCCTCATGTCTGACACCACCAGGTCCTTCAAATACTCCTCTCAGACAGAGGATTAGGTAATCTCACCATGATACTGTCTTTTTCTCTATTTCTATCATTTTCTCTCTCTCTCTTTTACACTCTCTCTCTACCCCTCCATTCTCATACATTACATCCTCCTTCCCTTCCTCTCTCTCTCTCTCTCTTTCTCTCTGGCCTGTTGAAGAGCTTGTTCTACTCAGGGCACATCTATCCTCAGGGGTCCTTACATTCTTAAGTGCCGGCAGAAAAGGTTAGTTGGCAGGTAATTGTCCAGTTGTGGCTGGGCTTATCTTAATTGTGGGTGCTTCAGTGCAAGCTACACTTCCCCTGATGAAGAGACTTATGTGGAATAACGGGAGAAGACAAGAGGATGGGACGAGGGAAGGATTTAACCTTTTGAAGTGTATTTGATATTTTTCCATCAGCTGTTGGTAATCATGTATTATAATAGTGTCATTTGAACTTTTAAATACTTATTTTGATATGACATAATACTACCCATTTGTACATATTTTTTTTCCAAAATGCCTTTTCTGAGCCTCACTCAATAGTTTCCATTATAAAGAACTCAATATGTGTTTTGCCTATTGATCTTACACATGCATAGTGGGAAAAGCAATGCTGACCTCACAGCGTTAAAATCCAAATGACTAGGTCTTCAGCCATTCTAAATCTATACTTCTATTAGCCATCTGATCATACACATATCCATGTCGATAGGGAGCTTTAGGGGGGTTAGTGTTTGCATTGCCCCAGTCAAAGGTCATGACTGACCAATAAAATATTTCCAGAGCGCCATCAATAACCCCGACATGTAGACTAATACAGTATGGGATTGTGGGTAGGGGGAGGAAACCTGCTGTGCTTGCTTTGAGGAGAATGGATGAACAAGAGGCCAAAAGGTTACAGGACAGACTGCGGCTCCCTGCCCCTGCACCCTCTCATATGTGCATTTGATAGCGACAGGGGCAATTATAAAGGTATACTTCAGTCAGGTCAAATGGGAGAGGGCAAAGTGCAGAACCTTTAAAGTACTGGCTGGAGTCAAAGGTTAGGATGGACATAGGACATCATAGAGCGCCGCTGGGTAGGGGGTAATGGAATCAAAGCTATAAAGATGCAGACTGATGAGAACAAAAGAAACAATTATACAGTATGTCCTCTTCAGCTATGTGATATTTTCATATGTACAGAAAAGCAGATGAGCCATTTGTGTAAAATCTCAAACTCTGACATTAAACGCTGTTTGGCACGACAAGCAACAGCATGTCTGGTGTGTGTCTGTATACTGTATGTTGTCTGCGGAAACCATCAGGCTTCATGGCTATTAAATATGAATAGTCCAAGGTCAGGGAAGGTCGAGGCACGCATTTAGCACCAGTGACCAATGCCAAATGTAAAGGTCAAAGTGGAATTGCCCGAGTCGGAGCAATACGACGTTTGCTCATCCACATTTATGCATCCCATTGGCAGTGATTTATGGAGGGAGATAAATGTATGGATGGGAAGAAAACACTCTCTTTCTCCTATCCCGTCAGACTCAGTAAATACACTACTCACTCATATCAATCACCATGTCACAGTGAATCGCCACTGTATGCTTCCTGCTTAGATTAAAAACCGTCTTTGTCTTGCTCTGCCTTTTCCCTCCAGCTCTGGGGAACACACTGGAGGTATTGTTGCTATTCCACAAGACTATATATTAGCATTTCAGAAAGCTGCGGAACAAAAGTAGTGAGTATGTTCAAAGTCAGTGGTATGCTTTAGTTACGTGCTTTTTCCATGGATAGATTCGATGCTGTAACAATCATGCACTATAGAAGTCGTCAACCGGTGCCAAAAATACTGAGGAAATTGTGTATATATATATATGTATCTATTTTTTTTTAATCTGTCGTGTGACAAAATCATCTGCTTTTTAAATACAATTTCTCCCCACAGCTCTTTGTTTCTAGGCCGTTTAGAGACAGCTGTGTTATTTTACTCTTTTTTTAATGGGCTTCCCTGAATTTGGTTTGCATAAAAAACACAAATCTCTATGTTACTTTCATCAGAATTCCAGAGCATTTGAAAGAGTTCACGATGAAGCAGGTTTTATGCTTATAAAACAAATCAGTGCTGATTAAGATCAGTTTTTCCTCCTCCTCCCTCTGCTGCAGCCCGACTCTGACTGGGCCAGCAATTAACTCTATATCCCAGGCTTTCAGAGTTTTGTAGGCCTCTTGAACATGAACATGTTCTCCATGTCTCTTTGGCTCCTTAAATGTGAAAACCAGCCCGGCACTGGTGCACCACAGCCTCTGCGAACTACCCCCAAGTGGTTCAGAATCCAGCCAGAGAAAAGTCCAAAAAGAAAACATGCTTTTGAACTGCAGGCCAAAGCGGAAACATGGTCTAGTAAGCTTCTTTTAACCTGAACCATAAAGATCTATTTTCCTTGCCTCCAATAGTAATAAATTTGCTCTTTTCCCTTATTACACATATTATGTTTTTCCATGGTAAGATCAAAGGGTGATAATGCGCGACACCATAGGCACCAGTGCACATAACCTGACACTTTCTATTTAGCTTTCCATTAGTCTGCATTTCGCCTTGCTTGCAACTTCAATATGACAAAAACCTCTTTAATACCAGAAAAACTTTTGCAGCGAAGGTATAAAATGTTTCTCCACAGGAAATCATATGAATTTCATTGTGTCGACTGTAGAGGTCAGCTTTGAGGATCGGGTTCTTACCATTTTAATACCAGCGATGACATTTCCCTACACCAGCCATTACACCATCTATCCTTCCCTCCCTGTGAGAACAACAGTTCTGAAGGCCGTTTATATACAGGACAAATCCTGTACGATCTGTCACATTCATCTCTATTTCGCATTCACCATGGGGCATTTGAACCGCATCAGAATCTATTACCGCCATGCAGATTCCGCCCCTGCTGACAACACAAATCATGATAAGATGGAGCAGTGACTCCATAAACACCCTCGCTTATATATCACATCATATGAGCCGGACTGGATAGCAGATCTCACTTGTTGTCGCCATGTGATCGTCTATTTATATGGCTGGGCTAAAGATACGAATATCATTACATCTCTGTCTATCTTCAACTTGTGTCTTATACTACCTCAATCAAACAATAGATATAAATAGTTGTGTGTGTGTGTGTGTGTGTGTGTGTGTGTTTATCTGGGGGAGCATCCATCACTCAGCAGTAGGAGTTCCAACTCAGCTGCTTGTGAGGAGAGATTTATGCTGTAATGCATCAAATCAACAGACCTTTACAGTAAAATATGATTTCATCAATAGGCCTGATCAATAGTGCATGCAAGACGCTGTGTAATTATTACAGAGGTCTGTATCAATAAAACTGTCAACCATGACCTCCTACCGAAAGCTATGGAGCTGGGAGTCACAGACTAGTCAAAGAAAGGTTTGTGTCGTGGCCCTGAAATGTTTGATTACCTGTACATAAGGTCATGTTTTTGATGTATGGTAACTTATCGGTACATGCTCGGCTGTGATAAAATCTACGCGAGAAAAGTTTTAACAGAAGGGATAGACGACTCAATAGTGTAATTTTAAAATCGTATTAATATGATGTGTCTTATTTAACAATTAATTGTGCCAGGTCTGTTTAAAAACAGTCATTGTCAGTGAATTTTCTCGCATCTGTGCCGACAACAGAGATTATAAATGATGGAGATGTGGACGACTGTCTTTACTAGAGTGAGGCTCATTTGTCCTGAAGCAAGGCAATCTGAGAGTTGAAGAAAGACTGTCAAAAAGAGCTTTGTATTACACTGTAGCGGAAGCGCACAGCATTAACACACACACACAGTCACATACACACATACAGTACACCACAGAGACAGAGCGTGAGGCAGGGACCAATGAGGCAGTTTATATCGGGATTTTGTTTCACAGCCACGGCCTCCTGGGAGAGAGGGGTCTGCCAATAACACTTAAGAGACAGAGCAGGAAAAGTAAGTGCTTTTATTACAGCTCATCACTCATGTAATTTCTGGCAGCATTTGTGATTACAGATCAAGTGATTGACTAACTACACATTCGGCGGCTGAGTTATGAACCGGGTGCCTACCATTCCAGCCCCGGCAGATTCTCAGTGTCAGCTGTAACTCATCCTCTCCCAGGGTGCTAAATCAAAGAGCACGCTGCAGTCGGAAGAGTTAAATAATAACTTGGGCTTTATTGTAAATCTGCCAGAAATTAAACCTGCACGGACGTTGTCTTGGCCCTGATGTTGTACTGCATGGGGTGAAGAGGCTGGATGGAGGGGATCAATAGAGGCCCTGATGGAGGTATTGATGGATGACAGGTGAAGAGGGTGTGTGTGTGTGTGTGTGTGTGTATACGAGTGTGTGTGTATGTGTGTGTAAGGGGTGGGATTGAATCACCCCGGGGTTAGGTAGAGAGCACGGCTCAGGGTGTTTAATCGACAGGTCTCACCTTGAATCGATTGGCAGGAGTCTCGCAGGGCAAAGACGTGATACACACAACCAACACTTACTCACACCAAAACAAACCATAGGGAGTGTAAGAGAGGGATGCAGGGTGGATGTCTCAATGCCATCAGTGCTGCATTCCTGTATGTAGTCAGTGCTGGGTTTGTAACTCACAAAAACAAATTTAAGTCTCGATTCAAAAGCACTCTTATTGTTTTACTCGTCAGTCTCCTTGAGCTGTGATTCAATATCCCTTTAGATAACTTTGCTTAGCTTCACAAAAATAGCATTGGTTTAGTAAATGTAGTAAACCTATTTCAAGGTAATAAATAGCTTGGTTGTCCACATGTATTCTTTGTCTGACTGAAATGCTGACTATGTTGACAAAAACGAAACAGGAACAGTAACACATCTGTTTGGTATTTCAGCACAACTTTGTGTTAATCAGTGCCTAAAGTCAAAATCTATTACATTTTAGTATTATAAATCAATTTTATTATTACTAAGAAATACTTTTATTGTTATCTGTCTACATTTTATGTGTAACCCAACACTGCCAACATGTTACACAATGTAAAAAATACCCCTTTTGTTAAATGTAGACGATGAAAAAAAGTCAGTCGTTTCAGTTAATATCCTGAAAAGTGGAATTCTGTGGTGGTGATCCCCATTGTGGCAAAACAAAAAACAACAACCCAAAACAAAACAAAAAATAGTTTGCAATACAGTACAAGCCTAATGAAGGACCACTGAATACAAAGCAGCAAAGACACAGAGCAAACCAGATTCAAAGGAGGCCTTGTTTCCTGTAATGATCCTATTTTACGTTGAGAAACCTCATCATATAGTATTATCTCTGCAACAAATCAATTTCCTCACACTCAAAAGAGCCCTAGTAGCGTGCACATGTGACTCATAGTGCAGAGACGGGCAGCCATGAAAATGCTCCACCGTGAAATATCTTACAAGAGGCCAAGATCTGAGAGGGCGTCATGTTTTTAATAAACAACATACTGTAAGTATTAAAAAAAAAAAAACTGGGCTCTGTATATGTAGGGAGAAAAACCCTTTCAGGTTCTGTTGAAATGTGGTGATTCAGTGACTCTGCAGTTCCTTCATGCAGCTTTGACTGTAAGACGAAAGCCTAATGCAATCAGATGAGGTCAAGGTTCAGGAGTGTTGGAGACTGATATGGTTTGGAAGAGGAGCATATTTGCCAAATCACAGCATGGAGTAAAGTGGAGCCTATTAATGCTGATCTGGACTCTGTTTTGGGGAACTCCTACCGAGCAAGAGGCTGTTTGTCAGCCACCTTGGAATCGAAAGTACTTAGCTCTGTATGTGGTCTACCCGAAAGCATTACCAGTCAGAGAGCGCACATTCTCATTCCATATCCAGTCATTTCAGGCAACGATTGGTAAAATATTTGTTTCAAAAATGAATCAAAAATAAATCAACAACATTCACTGATAGACAGAAAAATATCCGTGGATTCCGACAGATTCTTTCCAACAAGTGCCAACAGAGGAAACCACTCCATCGTGTGCAGGACAGTATTTGAATAGTTCAGAAGAAGAAGGAGTTGAAGAGAAGGACGTTTCACCTCAGGGTCCAGGTGGGAGGAAGGAGAGGACATCTGAGCCTGCTGTCCAGGGTTCAGTTTGGGAGAAGAATTGTAAATTGAAGACTTGTGGCCATTGTGTAGTCTAATTCTTGATTGTTGACAAAAATCTACCTTTTGAATTTCAGGATCTGGACATCTTTCTTGGGAGGTCTGGGTTTCGTCCTGGGAAAATGCAACATACTGCTGTCGTCTTCTGATTTTTGGACCAATTGAGACATATTAGCAGATCTCTCCTGAAGAGACAAGTGACAAAATAACAAGAATAAATGTAAAAACAATCCACAATGGGCTAAGAAATTCCCCCACAAAAAATAAATTAAGAAGAAAAAAGTCACAGCCAAAAAAGACATATTGTGATATAGAAATATATAAACAGACGAAGACCTCATCTTCAAGGTTTTACAGTCTATCAATCTCCCCTGGGAAGGCTTTATTTTTCTACATTTCATCACTTCAGCTGCTTACTGTTTGTAAATCACCATTCTTGCAGCTGTCCACTACTAAAGTCACACCTCAAGCCTGCCAACCACTTACTGTATACTTGTTTCTTTAATCTCAGCCAAAGTGATTCACTACTGCCTCTAGAAGTGCAAAACCACTTAGCTCTCACAGTCATGTTGTAGGACTGACATTTATGGGACGTATAACAAATAACAGGTTTAAGGCCTTGTGATTTTGCCAGATTGAGCTTAGTTTACTTTATTCATTTATTTAATTGAGACCATGATTACCATTTCTGAAAATATGCCAGTTATTCAAAAGGCTAATTTCCATCAGTAGCCCCTGAGCACATACAGAAAATAAAGCATTCTCAATGCTATAAAAAATAAAAAGTACAACATAAGTCATCTCAATATTTCTATTCACTCTGTACTTTCAAATATCCAACAAAAGACAAAACACTTGTCTTTGGATTGTGTTTACTGAGACAAAATTGGAAAACAAAAGAATACAATTTAATATGTGCAAAGCTGCATGTTTGCCTTCCTTTACATTTACTTCGTACATTATGAGAAACACAACAGTGAGAAGCTTGAACATTCAGTTTTTTCCTTGTGATAACCACATTAGCACTCACCTTTTGAGCTTCAGCTACAACTCTGCTTTGAGCTTGTTTTCCTGTCAATAGCTGGGGCAATGTGCTGGCAGTGGGCCTGCATCGCTCTCCCTCTGACCTAGGTAAAAGATGCAATGTAGTGAAGACTACATCACGGCTGCTTCGTCTGCTTTTTAATGGCCCATTCCTCAGATCCCACGGCCCTGCTGTCCTACAGCCCTCCCTATCATCCCCCTGGTCGGATCTGATTGATGAGTGGCCATTTCTTGTCCTGTGCATCCCCGTTGCAGACCTGGCGATGGCAAATGCTGCCCCGCGTAACGCTCCATCTCGCTCATCTGTGTTTGGTTTTTGCTCATGTGTTTCCTCTTCCTCTGCACTCTCACTTTCTTCATCTGTCTCCTGCTCCTCAGAGCCTTCTGGTGTCTCCAGACCTTGAAGCAGCTTGTGTTGAACCTGGCTCGAGTCCTGTCAGGAGGACAAACAATATCTATTTAGGTTTTCCTATTGTGACACATATAGGTTTATTGCAGAGTTAAAGTCAATATGAAAACAAACATGTAAGATTTTTTCTATATCAAACAATGTAAAATAAACTGCAATCAATGCTGTACTCATTTATGAACTTTTAACTGATTCACTTCAAAAAAATCGAGTGTAATGCTTGCTGTGACTTAGTTATTGTGTATTTCTGGAAAGAAAGAAGAAGAAGGCTTGCATTACTATAACATTACAGTGATGCGGCAATGTTTTTTAGTAATCAGTAGTGTAATCAATTACAATTTTATTCAGTTCAATAACTACATTTCAGTCACTTACCCCAGCAATGCTTCTGTTACACTCCTGTTAGTTTGTGTTCGCTTTAGAGAAAGAAATGCATCTCTCAGTGGCAATAAAAAAACAAAAAAAAAAACACTTTTGGCAACAAGCAATCTGCCTCCTGGTAGCTCCACAAGTTTTACAGTATAGATGTTGTGTTTTCTTAGTTGGCTTGTTAACGGTAGCCATAACTGGTAAGCCTCCATTCAGAGATCATGCTGGGTTTTGTTAACAGTTGAAGGCTGTGTGAACGCCATAACCTGACTGTGAGCTGCGCTGTGTGTAGTCTGCAAAGGCTAAGCTAGCCGCTGATGGTGAGTAAATCTCTGCAAAACTTTCGGACGATTGCTTGTTAAACTATGTTTTCTACTTCCTTTGTGGGTGTGTTAATGGATCATTAAAGGAATTTTACTGAGTAACAAAAGCAATATAATGAGTAATGTAACCAGTTGAGTAAAGTAATACTTTTATAACTGGTAATATTTATAAAAGGTTAATGATCTTTTATATGAAACCTGCCCAAAACTAGCCTCAATCTATCTAATGCCTAAAAACAAGAACAGATATCTGATAATGACTTCCCCTCTGTACTAAAACTTGGCTTTTTTTAAAAGCATATGCACAGTAGTTAGAAGGCATGTATGAGTGCATATGTACATGCCCACGTGCATGTATGGAGCTAAGAGAATTGCCCTGGTAAGGTTGCCTTCATCAGTGCACAGTATAATTCTAATTGGCTTTATTAGGGGGCTTAAATCTAATACCAGCTCTGTGCGCTGCCTTAGGCTCAGTGTGTGTGTATGTGTGTGTGTGTGTGTGTGTGTGTGTGTCTACCTCTGTTTGATGTTTACGACTCACCAGATTTATTACAGAATATTCACCATGTAACAGACATGAGTAGACGGACTAAAACAGCTCTATCACAGTAAGGAGGAAAAAAAACAACAAAAAAACCCCCCGACATTCCCTCCTCTGAATCAGCCTGGTGGAGCATGTTTCTCCAGTCTGAGAGCAGAGCCACAGTCAATTGGCAAATACAGCATTTAGAGGTTCAAGTCCAATGAAGCAGCAGCACTGCAGCTCCAGATGTAATGATACAGACTTAAGGCAAGAGAAAAGCAGCATGAAACTGTTCATTTGACCCCATTTAAAAACTTGATACCAATTAGAGAGTTCTGGGTGTAAATAATTTAGGAGATCTCTCTCACTGAACACACACAAATAATTTTACGGGCATGCACACATGTATGCATGTGCACGTGCTCTGACACACATTAACCTATGAACATATGCGCACACTCGCATGCATGCACGCACACATACATGCGCACACATACATATTCCACGATGCTCTGGAAACAGACTTCTTAATGAAGCCTTACCGAAGTGAAAGTAGAGCAGAAATACATACTGGCCCATTTCTGCCTTCAGTTCACCCTCCTCTCCTCCCTCTCCCTCACCTTCTCCACATCATTTGTTTTATGCATGTTTCATTGTCTTTCCCTTTTGTCTCAATGAGTTAAATCACAACCCCTAATTTATGGCTACAGGCAAAGACACTTCTACAAACAAACTGGCTGATGAGAGGGGATGACTGAAAACATACGCACTGAGCGGTGTGTGTAAATCTTAAAATGTCTGTTACTGTCTTTTTATCTGTCGTTATTTACATAAGAAATGACGGTGTGTGTAAAAGAATGACTGTGATGCAAAATGAAAAAGGCTGTGCGCTAGATGGGGGAGTGGGGGGGTGAAGTGAGGGGAGGTGAGTGAGTAAATCCAGTGACACTGAGTGGGGAGCACTCAGGTGTGGTGAGAGGATTATACAAAACCCTGAGTATGAATGACAGTAAACACCTGAATGACAGAGAGTTGAAGAGGGGCGGGAGTTGAGGGTGTGTGTGTGTGTGTGTGTGTGTGTGTGTGTGAGTGAGTGAGTGAGTGTGTGTGACTCTGGGTGACAGTTTAGTGGCCCTCACTGAAATTCTGAGAGGTGAGTGAATATATATTCACCACTTAATGTTTTGAGGGCTGTGCTGTTTATTCAAGTGCAACTTGTATTTGTATCATTCATAAGTGATAGGTTCGTTTACAGCACGCATAAAGAAACCGAAACTATAAATGAAAGAGGATTTGAGAAGCAAACAATGGCTGGGCAATGACGATGTCAACAAGGCAGGCAGCGAGTGTGGAGGAGGAAGATATCACTCAGGAGCGACCCACAGCAAGACTTGAGTTAACAAGTGAGTTACAGATTGAGTTGTACAGTATGCAAGCAAGTCAATAAAAGGGCTACAGAGCAAGAAAGAAGAGGTGTGTTTATCTTACTTTCACTGTGTTTTCTTTCTCCGTTGGTAAGAGATTGCTGACAAGGTCTCTGAAGTGAGCTTCAGTTTTTGGGTGAGAATATTGTCTGTTCTTCTCTCTGCTCCCTGAAACACAAGCACATCTCTCAGCACCTCCAATATACACTGTAATGTCCTTTTTTTATCTTCTATCTCTTCTTCATTTTTCTTTATGTCATGGATTTTCAGCTGCCATGTCACTATCAACTGCATAACCTAGACAAAGAGTGTGTTGATTTCCATTGCTGTTACTGAGTTGGAGGCATGTCAATATTGTATTGTCAATACAGCCCTGCTGACTTTTATTAACTTGTATGGTTAGGTTGGATAAAAAGCTACTTTTTTTTTTTGCAAGCCATTAGCAGGAGTGCCAACACATTCTCCCCCTGTTGTGGAATGCTCAAATGTGTTTTTAACCTTTGGCTTAAGGTTAAATTCAGAAGAGAGCAATGCATGTCGATTCCTAGATCTTCTCTTAGTGAAATCCCTCACCTCTAGAGCTATATCGCTGTACAGCGCTGACTCTACATGAAGCGTGACCCCGTTTCCCCCACGGCGACCCCCTCCTTCCCTTCACAGCCTTGGAAGATAGAGGAGCACAGGGAAAGGCATGCCAAGGCAGTAGACACTTTTAAGCAAAGATTAAAGGTTTTTCTTTTTAATCAGTCATTTGGCAGCGATGTTAGCATTTCACCCTGGTGCGGCTAAGGATCAATTTTTAATGCTGCTGTGCACAGAGCAGACAGGGTGATTGGCAAGAGAGAAGCTATTTACAAAGGATCTATTTACAAATTTTCCATAGAAATATGCAGAGGGCACAATTGACATCTCTTACAGAATTTTAAATAAGCGCTCTTCCCTTTTTTTGCACTTCGTCACAAGGCACGACCTCTGTGAGCCCCTGATGATCACTGCTGTGTGTGTGTGTGTGTTCACTCACAAGGGTCTCACATGTAAAAATAATAAAGGAATCTACACCTCTCCCCTGTGTTGCATTATATTTCATTTCTCCATGTTTTGCTGCCAGGGGCTGGGTAACTAGGTCAATCAACCCTGGTGTAAACACATCACAACAATCCACCAAGAACATGCTAATGACAATGACTGTTTTTTAATTTATATCTCTCCCTCAGTTTTCCACTCCTCTATACCGCTAACATAACTTTATAGATACAGTATAACTCCTTGATGGATTTCAACTCAATCTTGTGCATATATAAGGAAAAATATTTGTAATTAGAAAGCATATTCCCTATGTGCTAGATGCACATTAGTGCTCTGTGACCTCCTCAGCAACAACTAAAAAGTCTAGAAGGTTTTCACAGAGTATTACAAAGTTTTTCTGATTTCTTGTTGTTGCTGAATTAAGTTCCCTTTGAATTTACAGCAAACCTCAGGGTGTGCTGAATGATGGCAGTCCTTGAAAAGTGCACAAGACAGAATGGACACAATCCCACACAAAAGAGGGCAAGCAAGTAAAATCTTCAGATCTGCACTATTTCATCGCTGCACAAACCTGACACTGCTGCCCTCCGTGCATCAGTCTCAAAGCTCATCCATGAATCAATCCATGTATCCATCCATCCATTCATTATCCAACCGTCTATTCATCTGTTATCCAACCATCCATTCATTCATGCAGTCAAACAGCCTTCCAGCCGACCAACCCACACACCATTGATCCAATGATTGACCCTGCATTGGGTGGATCAATACTCTCTTAAATGGCATCGTTGTAAGTGCTTAGGCACAATGGCCAGACGTTGTTTGTGCAGTTAATTTCCAAGGTAGCAAGGCCGTGCAGGGTTCTAACCCAAGTCAACTCTCCTTTATCCTCCACTTACATGATCACACCAAAGAAAAGAGAGGGGACACTGAAAAAGATATTGAGCAGAAAGCATCCTGTATACGTGCAACAAAGGGGGCAGTGTTCCATGCAAAACTGCTTGTAATGACCCAAGACTATTAGATACTTCAGATAAAGATGCCTGTGGGTACAGCAGGTTTACAGACACATAACTGTACTGTTACACACACAAGTAGAATGGCAAGAGTAATGGCAAACATTCAGGCATTTATAGATAAAAGAAGTCATGGTGCACATCAACACAATGAGGTACAAAGTGAGGGTGAAGTTCAACTAAACCACTGCACGCATTTCACCTGCACATCCATCTCAGATTAACGCATGGTTACCCTGTGCTGGTAGTTTAGCATTGTAGCGAAACAATTAGTGTAGATCACTGTCATAAAAGCATTACTTTAACAATATTAACATGAAGGTGAGGGAGTATTCAGCAGAATCATGTTCGGTATATCATTGTGCAGCCCTGTGGCTTGGTGTGCATACAGAAACCCTGTTGGGTTAGAGTTGGGGCCGGGTCTTGGCATTAAATGAGTGGGACTCTGACAAGTCTCGGAGTTCTGTCACTGCAGTTCACAGGTCTCGTTAGCCAAGGTGTCGGCAGGGGTGGAAATGGCTGTGTGTGAGTGTATCTGTGTGTGTGTGTATATGTGTGTGAGCTGAACATTAGACAGCACTCCTACCTCCACCTCCTCACCTGACACCAGCAATAAAACTAAACAGGCCAAGGTGCTATGCTATGTGTGTGACTGTGTGTGCGGATGTGCGCACAGAAAAAGGGGGCATGTGTGCTGCAGGGTTGTTGTTGCTGTCACCAATTTGCTGGGGCCTCTAGACGGGGAGTAGGAGCAAGGTGACGGAGCTGTGGCTTGATAAACACAGAAGCCCTGCTTCGATTTCCCATCCAGTCCACTTTGGAAACACATGGCTCTTCCTGGCCGCTCTCGGCCCGGTTGAGGTGTGTGGGGGTGGGGGACAAGGGAGACATAGTGATGGGCATGCAGCGAGGAAGAATAGCAGTCAGGAGGAAGGCTGAGAGACGGAGTGATGGAGGGGAGGTAAAGTATGTGGTGCAGATAGGGAGAGGGTAGAAAGAGGTGACAGGCCTGGCGGGATCAGGTGTGCAGAGAGGGGAAAAGACAGATTAAGCAAGGAGAGGAAAAAAAAAAAGGGTGATATGAGTTCTGAGAAATTTGAGTGAACCTCTAAACGACTTACACTCTCAAAATGATTTTTTAACTGTGAAAACAACACAGACAGAGCTGCTCTTCACTGTGCCCCCTCTTTCAATCTTTCACTTCTTCCATTCCCTCCATCTCTTCCTCTTCTGTCTGGAAAAAACTTGCAGTGTTCCGCCTTTCAACTGGCATCAGAACTTTAAAGACCAACTCCAGCTGGAGGAGCAGAGGAGTGTCAGCGAGGGAGGTGGGGCACTGAACTCCCCTCTGCCCCCCCAGAGAGTTAAGGAGATCACATTTTAACCACCCCCCCTCCAAACCCCACCCTGCTGCTCCTCTCCTCCATGCCTTAACACCAACATAAGAGGACAAGTGTGGGCTCTAAGCACCAGTGATCAAACACGAGCGGCTGCTGGGTACGCTAGGCTCAGGACTGTTGGCCTAATAGGATTGGAAGCCCCCAGGTGAGCCAAAGGACACCTCCAATCAGTGTGATTAGCCAAAGGCTGAGCTACATTTCTAGCTATAGCACTGACTGATGTACAGTGCTAAAAGGATCACACTGGTTATGAAGAATTCAAGCAAGTAATGGAGTGTGGTGCCATGGTTGAGTGTGCATGTCAAAGTTTTGCGTGGGAATGATGGAGTTTAAAAACTGCACGCACTTTTAACGTGTCAGAATGATCTTGAGATTTTGACTGTTTGCTAATCATTATTAAGTTCACTGAAGCGTATAATGTGTGGAGCTGTAGAATAATCTTGGCTTTCTGGTTCCATATAAAACAGTGTATGCTGTATACATGTGTGCACACAGTCTTAGAACAACACGGCACAAGCACAGATAAATGTGGGTTTCCACCAAGCTTCACCGTCAACACATTGACTCACACATACATGAATGGACAAATGCACACATAACATAACATGCCCAGATACACACGTACAGACAGGCTTTTATAAACTCATCACATCCAAAAAACAATTACCAGAGACTGAGCTCATCACTGACTAAGCAAAAGTCATCCAGCGTGTAAAACACACAATATAATTAGCACACATCAAGCTGCTGGGTCCTACTGTGCATTAATGATGCTTCCCTCTGAAGTGAATTATGGTTTGATGAGTGAGAAAGTGAGTGAGGAGGGGCTCTGAGGAGGAACAAGACATCATTTGGAGAAAGGGAAGAGAAGCAAGCCTGGGGTTGAGGTAGTAGGGGAGTCACACTGATCAAAACCTGAATTTGATTGGTTTACCTTTGACCCTCTCTCATTGCCCCGAGATATGAACATTTAGAGATGGACGACAGGTTACTCACTTGTGGCGAGAGCCATTGTATGCTGGCTTCCACAGGCAACATCAATCACCTGAATAAAATAGAATGTTTGTTAGAATTTAAAGTAGCGCAAAAATTCAATATAAGCGGAGAGCTTTTCCCAGCATTTCCCTCCAACTGAATTTTATTACTTTGTTGACACACATGAAACTGAAGGTACAGAATCAACACATGGTTAAATTTCTGTTAGCAGGGACTGCAGATTTGCCCTTTAGCTAACTCGGGTACATTTATATTTATTTAAATGTTGATTAATGTACATTTTTCTTTTCAAATAAATCAATTGAAATGTTGGGAAATGGTAAATAACACAGTAAAGAATCAATTTCAGTTTTAAACCAATATCACATCAGTTAAGAACAAAATCACTGACAGAGCAGAGAGGAGGGATTTCTTACAATGCTTTCCACAGTGTGTTTATTGAGTGGTGTATTTATTTACAGCTCTTTGTGCAAGATAAGGTCACCATTGCAGAGTCCAGGAGGTGACATTTCTGAAGTTTAAGTCGCTGTTAAATTAGATTTTTTTGAATTTAACTACTGGATAAACCTCAGTCTTTGACTTTTACATCATCTATACTCAAACATGACTGGTGTGTATTTAAGGGTGACACATGTTCTACACCCATGGGAAGAAATACAGAGTCCATTTTCAGACACATGTGATTCAGTGTGGACTTACCCTTTACGAATTTCTGCATATCTAGCTAAAACTCATATGCTCAGAAAATCCTGGGGCTTTCATCTGCTTTACACTTGAGGTGCCTGAAAACATAATTTGCGCAGCCTTTCTCACACGCACCTTTCGGCCTGCCAGAGGAACAGGCTGGGGGGTCCAGAGTCTTTTGAGGCCCGTGTGATAACTGACCCGGGAAACACAGGGGATCTGACCCCAGAGAAGCAGCTCTCCACCTGCTGAAGATAGGAACAAAAGGGCAAAAGTTCAGACAGATACATCAGTAATACATGCAGTGTCACCTTGCCACATATTCTTTCAAGTATGAAAAGTAAAACGACCCTATAAGGATGTGTTGGTATGTTCTTCCCATGTTTCTCACCCTAACCAGTGTGCATGAGCACAAATGTGCACCAGCTTTAACGTGCATATGACATGTGGGAAAAACGATGTGTGAATTATCTGAGCCACACTGTTTGGTTCCCATTTGCAAAGCCACGGCTTTGCACGAACACTGTTTTTTTCCCCCGTCCACACACAGAACGGACAGCGAGTGAACCGTGAGGAGATATTCACTGAATTTGACAAAACTGTATTGGATTAGAAAAGCTGATTTTAGCTTTAACAGCTCCTGATCATGTGCCCCTCACTTATTTACATGAGTTCATACTTGCTTGTTGTCTTTACTGGAATGACAGAAGCTAAGTGCCAAAAAGGGCCAGTAGGAAAACAGACTCCAGTCTACCACAGATTAACTTGCTCCTGGACCTTACAGCTTTGGTTTCTTCCAAATTCAAAAAGAAACACTGACCCCAATCATAAACACTTAAATGGAAGCAAGAATTACACTCTGTCAGTTCAGTTTAGTTTAGAAAAGGGAGTTGATATAGAGCAGTGCACTGAGATGGTAATCCTGCACACTCTGGGCACACACACACGCTGTGTGCACAGACACACACAAACACACACTCACCTTTCCTCATTGTGCGACAAGCAGAGGGAACACATTCTCAGTTGGCACTTATCAAAAACATTGTATGTACTCACATACTGCAAACACTCAAGCATCCACTCACTCATGCTACCTCAGTCTGGCTTTTTAAACCCACCACTAATAAATTTATATTTACTGCCTGCATTGAGGACTTTTAAATTATGGCATACAATAAACCTGGCACACACATCTCAAAAGCTCTTTCAGGGGATGTTAAAGCAATATAGTAAGCAATTTTCCAAAGTGGATTACAAATTTCACATCCAGGTTTTATTGCACATTACGATAACTTAACCACATCTAAATGTTCCGCATAAATGGGAAATATGTGCTGCTTAATATGCTATTTTTCATTTTTTAAGAAGCGCTTTGCAAACCCTGCCAAGCGAGGGAGCATGCTGGTTTGTGTGGTGGGGGAGTCAATAATCTTTATGAGGTGGATTTTAATTACAAGGAGATAACTGAGTATCCTCCTCACGGCAAGCCTCCATCAATCTCTATTCTGCATCAAGCTGTACGTAGCCCTGGCAAGCGCGCACACGCACGCAGGCACACACATTCGCACACACATACATGCAGACGCAGATACCCTTTCAGACATGATTGATCAATCAATCAGTAATGTATTATTTTCATCTCAGTGAAGCAAACCTTATGAAAGCGTATGAGACAGGCGTTGCTAGATGGCATTTTACTCCACACACAAACACGTGCGTTACAATACAAACACATGCATGTACAGACACACAAAATCAGATGGACACACAAACACGCACACACGCATACGGAGATGCTGGCAGAGTAATCCAGCTAAAAAAGGTTAAGGCTGATGTTTTCCCAAAGAACGACAGTCTGTGAAAGGTCAGATCAATCATGTGCTAAGCATGTCTCGTAAGCAATCCATAAAGAGCTTGTTTTAAATAATAACATTTTATAGATCACTTAAAGACATAACTGTACCACAGGCAGGTAGGGCCTCACTCGCCAAATAGTCTTCAATGCGCCAAGAATTCAAATGGGACAAACTTAATATGTTGAGACTGCAGTTCATTTAATGAACCAGTGGCATTTCTAGTGAAACCGTGCACACAGGGCCAGTAGACGTCTCTGTTCAACAATAGGCAATTGTTTTCACAGAATATTGCATTATAGCAGTAGGCTGTAAATGTGCCCTGGTCTCGAAACAAGCACAGCGCCTTTTTCTCTGTAAATGGGTGATGTTGTATTTGTAGTGTAACCACTTTAATTCCAACTGTCTGGCAGAAGGCAAAAGCTACTAAAGGAGAAGTGGTTGCCTGACACTTCGTAAAGGTGTAAATGTATGAGGCCTTGTTCAGACTGTCAGCACAAATCCATTTTTTTTTTGTTACATCTATATTGCATCCAGCTGGATTTTTAGAAAATCTGGACAGCATAAAACAAGTGAAATGTAATTTTTGAAAATCAGACCCAAACCAGATTTAGAGGTGGTTTGAAATGCGATTCTAATCGAATGTCTAAAGACACATCTCAGTCCAGACGCCATGTTGCTCAAGAGTGATTTCAAAATGTCTTTTGCGTCACTTGCAACAACAAGGATCTACAGCGTGAGCAGAATCTATACTGCTAATAGCAGAGCGCTATGGAGGACAACACAGACAAAAACAGTCTGTGGAAAGGAAGTCAAACTGAAGTGTCTGCAAGCACTTCTACAGGAGGATTCTGTACAGGCAAAGCAGGAAGGAACCTCCCAGAACAAGACAATTTATCAAGACGTATCTCACAGCACGTAGCTATTGACGCCTGCATTGTTACCACTGGAGCACATGCACAGAGGTTAGTGATGTTAGGACACACAAATCGGATTTGATCCCTTGCAAATCGAGGTGTAGACAGTCTGTCTTAAAGATCTGATTTGAAAAACAAATCTGATTTGGTTACAAAAATGCAGCATGCAAACACTTCTGACCTAGAGAAAAAGTAAAAAAAAAACAAACATCTCATTTGTATTGTTGTGGTCAGAAAATGGCTCAGTTTATAAAACTGTGCACATGCTTTTTTTGTGTTTTGTGCACATCTTTTCAAGTCGTGGCAAATTCTCAATCACTGAGGCTTTGAAGGACATGGATCGGATAGTGTGACCAGTACACAGACACTCCTTTAGACTATAAAAGGCCAAGAGTGGGACAACATTCTACAAACCAGCATCGACATCATCATCAGCTACAAGCATTGCATATGTTTACCTTCTTACTGACTTGTGTTTCCTTGTCTATGACCCCAGATGCAGACTGGGGTCATAGACCTATCATAACTTCCAATACAGAGCTTGTTGTAGAGCAACCGTTCTGTGAGAGTGACAAAGGATCTATCTGACTCTACCTGTTTTCAGACTTAGTCAGCAAAGAGGGCTCTGAGTTTGGCTTTTTAGGAATTACAGTAAATGCAGCAAGGCTAGTGGGAAAGATTATGTAAAGAGATGGCATGCCTCCTTATCTTTCAGTCCTAATAATAACAAAGTAGCTACAGGGGTAGCCTGAGATCTTAGTGGGGTAGTTTAGGGATAGCTGGTTGAACAACGAATTCATTATGTACATCATCTAACACATAAAACTGAAACTGGGTGCACTATTGCACAGTTTCATTTGGCTTAAGAGATATTGAGAGCTAATGAGGTTGAATTTGTGCTCCGAGTGATGTCATTTGAGGACACTGAATCCTTGTTGTGGTAATTAAAACTCAATGAAATGATGTAGATGAAAAAATTTGCATGGCTCAAAGCCACAGTGCTGGGTACTACTGGGAAAATCAGGGTTTCAAGTTAATAAGTTGTTTTATATATTATGTAAAGTGAATACAACTTTTAAGATTCTTTTCATCACAATGAGAGATGTTTGCAGTGACAATTACATGTTTGAATGTTTGAGTTAAGTGATGCTATTCAGCTGTACGTAACACTTTAAGGCTCAAATAATGCAGTTGGAGAAGACAACAGATCTGTGGGCTTCTGCTGCTTGTTGGAAGCTCGGCTCACCTGTGACAGCTGCACTGTAGCTGTCCCCAGCTTCTATCTGTGTGACCTCAGCAAGCTGAGAATAGCTGAGAAGACAAGGAGCGGATATGTGCAGCCTGTCCTCTCCAAGTCCAAGCTGCCCCTGCAAGCAAAATAATCAGTCACAAAATTAAATTACACAGTTTAATCCCAATGATTCCACTGCATAGACAGGCACGTGTCTTATTTAACTATTCTAAGTAGTATTTAAATTTTGGGGAAAGATCAATTTTCCCAATTTGTGTGGCACCACTAAGTCTAGTCTGTCTTTCATCTCTAATTCATGCTGCACTGTCGCGCCTGAATGAAAACATGCCTGTTATATTTGTCAAAGAGGACTTGGAGATCACCTGCCGAGTATCATAAGTGCATTTCTGTAAAGCTCTGTTATAATATCAGCTCTGCACTGCAATAAATGACACGGGCAACTGGCAATTCATCTTGGTTCAAATGGCTGTCGCTGAGGAGGAAATATTTAAAAAGGCGCACTGCATATTTCTTTCAGCATCCAAAAGTCTACTTTGTTTCATGTTTCATTTACCACCCCTATCCAGCGCACACAGAGCCTTAATAGCCAAAGCGTCTCACGCAGCACAACAAAATGCATTGTCCTCAATTTACATCTTTCTCTGTGTTACAAATGATGAGGATGTTCAATTTGACTTCTCTCAGCTGTCCTGCTCCTCTCTCTCCTGCCCGCTCCTGCAGAGAAAAAGGCTTTCTGCACCGTGCACATTGGTATGCCCTGGCATATGTTAGAGAGTGAGCACAATATGTATGGGTTTACAATTGAGTGTATGTGTGCGCCATGCAGTAATCGGAGTCTTTAATTGCTTATTCGTATGTGCGCTACTGTGAGGATTTGTAGATGCGTGGCAGCATATGTTCCTGCTGTGAGTGTGTGCGTCTAAGTATTTAAGGTGTGAGTGTATGTGCTTCCATCAGAGAGTGTGTGTGTGTGCACGTGTGTGTGCAGGTTTACTTGCATTTAGGTACACTAAGTGAGCAGCTGTGTCCATACCTGAGTTTGTGCATGTGTTTGTGTATTTGCATGTGTTTATACTTGTTTATGTGTATTTTTGTGTGTCTGAGTGAATGAGCACTGTCAGGTGCTGCTCCATGCTGTGCCAGCTGCATCTGGAGCCATCTGTGTTGGGGCTCAGTGGGAGGGGAGCGGATGACTTTAATGTACTTGAACCCCAGACAGACCTTTCCCAGACAGTCGTCAGTATGAAACCAAGACAACTGGGCCCAGTCAAGCTGAACCGGCTGATCTGGCTGGTGAGCAGGAGACAGACGCTTTGGTTACACTGTAACCCCCGGTCAGACTCACTAGGGAACCTTTGGCAGTCAGATACACACAAACACCAGAATCTGTTTGTTTCAATGATAGAAAAGTAGTGTTTTATAGCTGACAACACTCTCACCTTTTTGTGCTGTCAGGTACTGCTGCAATATCAAACAATCCAGATTTACTTAATGTACGCATCCACCAGTTATTGAACTTGACAGAATCTGACTTGATTTTTTGGTTTTGTTTCTTATTTCTTTAACTCAAGTAATCAGAGTTTAAAGAATAACTAAAAAAACATGGCACTTTATTTGTATTTTTAAAGAAATTTCACTGAGAAATTGGTTGAGATCTGTGGTTTTCAGTTTATGTAGTTACAACTAAATGTGGTTTTGACTTAATGAGTGCAAAAATATTGCCAAATTGTTAAGGAGCTGGACATATATGCATAGAAAATGATATGAAGGAAAAGAAGTGGGTTGACAAGCACTGATATCCCTTGTAAAAAAAAAAAAAAAAAGCATTTTATTATTTAAAAATCCAACAAATGTTTGTACTATTTTGCACAGGATTTGTAACTTCCGTTGCAGTTCCTTAATTTTATTTTCAATAATTTATGAAATGTATACTACTGACTACTTATGTGTCATTATGTGTTCTTTGGATCTTGATTGTCAGGACTTCCATCTCTCATTCTCAAGTCTCTATCATTATAAAAATAGAAACATATCCATTCAAACTGACAACTGCACTCAACACTTCACCCACAAAACTAAGAGCAACACAGTATATCAACACACAATGCTTCACCGCAAAGACAACACAGAGGTCTAGTAATGATCTTGCAGCAACAATATGATTAGTGAAGCACAAAATCAATTAATGCAGCAGTAGAATCAATAGGTGTCCCTCAGCATATATGTCCTGCAGTTAATTAATAAACAAAAAGGACATTAAGCAGCAGAGCATCAGACTGTGGCAACGACTGTCATCAGTCACAATGTGTGTACTGATGGCATCAGCAGGAAGGGAAAAGGAAAACATAGACAGATATAAATGTGAGCATGCTGAAAATGCCAAACACACCCACAGGCAAAGATGCTTACACTATGTACATATACATTTCAGAGAATGCATGCATGCATCAACACTCGCATACACGAACATACTCACGCATGGTCTCATTCACTCTGCACAAACAGACATGTTTTTTTCTTCATGTTCAGTGTTCTCTTTTACACAAGGGAGAACCTGTAGATCCATAGTATGAATAATGTTCAGTTTACCACTGCACCCCAAACTGTATTAGCATTAATTTGGAACGGGCCCAGGGTTCGATGAGGCCTGAACTGTGCTGGAGCTGAGCCCGGGGTTTCTACCACCATCAGGCCGTTATTATTCACTATGTCTGATGACTCATATTCATCATTATATTATAAAGAGGATGGCAATCAACAGGCCGAATGTACACACTGATCTGAAGCCACACCTGACACATAAAATTCACACATGGCTAGCTGTCCACTACCTACGTTACAACAACTTGGCCATGTAAAAAAAAAAAAAAAAAAGAACCCCAGCATCAATAAAAGAACAATATGTTTTTGCGCATGTGCAATCTGTTATTGTCACTCTCAGTTGGTATTAAAATGTAGCACATGAGACATGGATGCTTGGTTTTATGTTTAATAATTTTGGTTTAACACATTAATTCCCAAAAGACAACCAGACAAACAACAGAAGTGCTTAATTTTTTCAATGATTTGTCACATTTACGATGCACTCGAATTTCCTGTTGCAATCCTGATGCTTCACATTTTTTTCCAGAGAGATTTTTGTTTTGTTTTCATCTCATTGGCAATGCCGATACACTGTCATTCACCTGCTTTGTATAAGAGTGTTGTTTACCTCATGATTTAGGTTAACATTAATATTCTCCTCACTTTGGATTATTTCTCTGCAGCCTTATAAGTGACCTCAACAACTTTGTAGTTTTAATTGTATACTCTTATATTCAGTTTTTAGGGTAACTTTGTACTATCTGTCCAGGAACTGCAGATAAAAAATAGCCTCTTGGCTAACTCTGGTGCATTCACAGAAATGCTTATTAATGTTCAAAGTCCCTGTAAAAATAAACCAGTAGATAATGAAAATCAGCTCTAGTTATTTATATCTGCTGGCCCTGTTAAACTCCCTGACACAACTTTAGCAGACAGTTGACCCTGTTATCACAAAACTGACATCACTGAATCAACACATGACAAGACAAAACCGTAGATGCTCTGTGCTTGCCTAAATTGCTTTCATGACCGCAGATACACCAGCTTGCTGATTAATTCAGCCATCCATAATGCAAAGTAATAGTGATGACTCCTTAGATATTATTGTATATATTAAGTCAAAAGAATAGGCGAAATGTAAAAGACATTTTTCCACACAAAATATCTATTTAAAAAAAAACAACAAAAACTAGAAAATCCAATTTAAGTTATCCAGCTTGCCTTGACACGTATTTGCTGCCCCTGTTACGCTGTTACCATATCGATTCCGGCTCTGTCACATGCTCCCTGACATCATTCAAATTCCTTCTCACCTCAATCATGTGATACAACGCTGGCTGTCTGTCTTTTAGTCTCAATAGGAGGAAAACAATAAGATTGCTATCTGTAATACTATTACCAGCCGTAATAGGGTTAGAGCTGCCTGGTTTTACCTTGGTAAGGCAACAGGGAACTTTATTAAGTTTAGGGACCTTTTGTGTGTGTGTGTGTTTTGTTTTTTTGTTTTTTTTAAACTTTTTCTGCTGCTACTGATACATAGGAGCCTTTAAGCCCCAGAGAGAGGACGGTATCAGCTTAGTTTAAAAAAAAAAAGTTCAAGATGTCCCCTCATCTCAATTCTTCCTGAGCAGAAAACAAAGTGTTATCTTTCAGGAGGTGGAACCATTCTTATTTTTTCACGTGTTGACGGGAGTGGTTTCGGTGTGGCACTGTGCGGCTGATTACAGGGGGAGTCTTAATCAGGTGGTGCAGTCTGTCGGGGGCCCCTGGGGCCGAGAGTGTGCTACATCCTGTCAGACTGCACAGAGAAACAATCAATCATCAGAATGGCTCCAAGACAGAGGAGAGAGGGAGGGGAGGAAGATAGGAGAGATGGAGGAAGAGTAAGAAGAAAATGGTGGGAGAAGAGGGACAGGAGCAGAAAAGAACGAGAAAAGAGGAAGAGTGAGGGAGGACATGAGATGGGAGAAGGAACATGATGAGGAGAGAGAGAGAGAGAGTGAGAGAGAAAGAGAGAAAGAGAGCGAGAGAAAGAGACTGTGCCCTTGCAGAGACTAACTTAAAGTTATAAAGATGCGAGGACGCCTATGAAAACCCAATGAGTGTAGTTAGACGAGGAGCCACCCAGCAACGTTAGAGCGCAGTGTGGAAGCCAAGGCCACGTCAAAGCTAATAACAACTGCTGTCTAACACTTTCATTGCTCCCCTGTCTCTCTAACTTTCACCTACATGTTTGTTACACTGTCCTGGCAAAGCGTCATCCTGTCACATTGTAAAAGTGATCACATTTTGGCCGTGCTTTCAAACGACCTCACAGATAAACACCAAAGCCAAGAGGAAAAAGAATCAGAGAGAGATGGGAATAGAGGGATTGAGGTGGGCCTAGGTTTTACACTCTCTGGGCTCTGTCTGAGGGCTGTGTAATGATGCAGCTCTTTAAAGATCGTCTTAAATGAAAGGCCAGAACAATCCTCAGTGACAGGTGGGATTCTTTATCTAGCAGAGGAGGAAAGACAGGACAGGGCCAACTAACACACATACACACATGCACATACTTTTATCTATGCACATTCAAAGTGGCATGCACATACATAAACTGCAGACGATTCCACACAGAGGATTTCCTGCCCTGTCCATGTGAAGCAGAGGAGTAGAAACGGACAAACAGCAGATCCCATAAAGGTGATTTACAGAATTTAAAAAGATGTGCATTCTTGGCACACTATAAAGGATATTAAGTGCTCAAAGGGAGGGCTTGGACACAGATCCCTTTCAAAACCTTTTAATCTCCAGTTTCAAATAATAAAAAAAAAACGCACCAAAATGTCTGAAAAATGGAAGACGTTTGTGTGTGTGTGAGACAGAGAGAAAGAGAGGGAAAGAGAGCGAGAGAGAGAGAAAACATATGATATGAAAAAAAGCATGGAGTCCAGTTTTAAGTCTGCCTCTACTGGCAGGGCCAAAAGTGGAAAAATGTTTGGCTCACCTCTTGCCCCATCCCCCAGGAGAAGACATTCCCACCATCTGAAAAGAGAGAGAGAGAGAAACACAGTAAACCAACAGTCCACAACAATTCAAGAGAGCCAACAAATAGGAGCCTGGGGTTAAAATAGGAAAGAAAATGAAAAAAAAAAACAAAAGCGAAGGGAGAGAAGGGAAATGCGCAGCTGACAAAAGTGGCTCAAGCATCATACATCAAGCACTTGTTACCTCTCCCGGTGCTTGTGATTGCACATGACTGCAAACAAGTCAGTGATAAAAATCTGAAGAAAGATGAGACCGATCGGGCTGGCTTTAAAGATCATCAATCACAGCCCTGTAAGCTCAGATATTATTAGTTCAAGTAAAGCTGCACTCTTCCATTTTATGGACATCATAAAAGACTTTGGGGGGGTGGAGGTGGAGTGGAGGAGATCCCCCAGTGTTTTAACTAGGACTGGGATGGATGTGTTTGGAAAAGCAGACCGGATGGATGGACAGCTCTAATGTAGTAACGCTAACTGAATCACTCACACTGCACAGGGCTCCCCAGGGGAAAGAATGTGGGATGGGAGTGTAAGGCCCCACTTACAATATGTTAAAGTAAGTAAAAGTGTACCACGAAAAAGGGTGTTTGTGTGACATCACGTTTGTGTTGGTGTGTGTGCGGATGAACTGTTAGAAGTTTGGTGATGTGTAGACCTTTGTTAATAACACTGTGTGTGTATTTACGGTACATGGTATAAGTAGGAAATGAAGTGACTGCGTGTCCAGGTACACACATGTGCTCTGCAGTGTGCAGGGTGCGTCCCTCGATACAGTAGGTCTTGATTTTAGAGATCACAATCCATCACAAATGAGACCTGAGTTCAAATAAATCAGATTCAAGATGGCAATAACAGGTGCACACTCTGTGCTCAGTTTTTACTGTCAAATGTGACACTTTTATTAATCTCCTGACAGGTACTTCTTTTACAATAAAGTCTATCATAACTTGTGTGATGACTAATGACAGTGTGGAAGAATATCCAGGTGTTCCTGGTTAAGACGGTAAAAATATCCACACCCTCAAAGAACATTGAAAAAGAAAAAGAAAGCTTATTACATAAAGGCAAATAAATAAAGATTTTTCCACTGGACACTGTATGTCACAATTTTCTTAAAGCTCTGGGATTATATCTGTAGGTGTATATTGTCTAGATGTGCATTTTTATGTAGTTTTTAGGGTAACATACACCTGTTCTGCACCATAAGAAAGGACACTGCACGTACCCCAACACCTGTTGACACACTGACACTTGTTGACAGTGACAGCAGGTATCATACAATTACTATTTGCAAAGAGTAAAGGGTTGAATGTTACGCAGCCCGAGACACAACCAATGAGTGTGACACGGGGTCCTTAACTCGCTTTATAGCCAAATGTACAGAAACAACGATGAACACATTGTTGATTTTTACAGCAGAGCAGGCTGTTGGGCTGCCAGAACCAGGCCTGTCCCGACTGCAAACAGACCATCCCAGTCTGACAACTGAGTGGGGTCATGAGGTACTAGCATACAGGGATGGATGTCAACTGATCTAAAAGCAATCCGATCATAAAATGTGTTGACTCACCTTGTCCCTTGGTCATATCCTACCTTACCAAATCCTTGTCTGTGTTTTTTTTTTCCCTATACCTGCTGAATTCACTAAAACTCCTGCAAGAACTGAAAACAGATTTTGTTGTTTTCAGACAAACCCTTTCCCTGCACAATGAAAAGAACCATTTTCCCATTTTTAGTTTTAACCATATTCCCGTGAGAGTGTTAAGGCATTTTAATTTCCTTCAGAAGACAATCTCAAGATTGGCTGCTGCCGACGTGAGGAGGAAACCAAACTTTATGCTGTTTGTTACCTCCCCGTATGAGTTTATATATAATACTATAAAGGGAGCAACAGAAACATGTCAAGAAATTCGTGTGGTCCTGTGAACTTAATACTTTCTAATAAAAGTTTGTCAATCCATACCGCTGCTCCGTGTGCAATCTCTGTTTTCTATTTCACGTATTCCTCGCAAATTTTTTTCTTTCTCCCTCTCTCTCTCTTTCTCTCTCTGAGGACATAAAGGCTAGTGTGAAGTCCATCACTGCCTGGTGAATAGCTGCCCTTTGTGCCTCAGAACTCAATTCACAGGCTGAAAGGACCCCAGCTCTGCACCTCTGTGTGCTGCCTGATTTAAAAGAGTGTGAATGTCCGCTGAGGTCTGCCTGAAAGCTTTTGGCTAGGTTAAACACACCAGGCTTAGTCAAGTTTTGAGGATTCAAATATCATAGGGCTAACCAGCACGGAAACAGCAGTCCAGAGTGCAAGATGAGTACACTGGTATTACACCAAACTTTGAATACAATCAGTTCTGGTGCCAACACTGGTCTAGCGGTCACTAACTGCACTGTTGTCAAGGAAACAGTTTTTCCATGGTTGCCTTGACCTTATTCAACATATAGACCCCCTCATCCCTCCACACATAGTTTCAACACACCGAAAGCGATGTATTTATTGTTACATCCAGCTCATGATGCCTTTGGAGTTTGTCTGTAAACTATCTATATTTCATTTTTAAAAAAACACCAATTTTCATTTTTACTTCGGCATATGTGACAGCGGACGGTTGCAGAGGGCATCAACAACACACCAACCTCACTCCCTGTCTTTTCCTCTCACAGAGACCTTCGTCGGGCTTGTTAGGCCTGACACTGGCACCCTAGTGAACAAAAGGACTGCACGGCTTAGGGCTGCCCTGGAATGTCAGCGGGTTCACATTTCACATGCAGATGCGTGACCCCAGAGCCCTTTAGTGGGAAGGTGCGCTTTAACCTCACAGAGAAGCAGAAGGAGGGGAGAAGGGGAGTAAGGGGCACCTTAGGGGGAATCTGGGATGGGGGAAGGGGAAAAAAATAAGAATGTCTGAGTTTGCACTGCTTGCATCTGCTCTTACATTGCCATATATCTCTCTAAGTGACTATCTTTTCCCTTTCTCTCCCAAAACACTCCTGCACGTTGTTAAACTCCGCTGATATACCTTATAGAATATTATAATTGTCGATATTCTGGAAACTTGTCAGAACCGTCTCCTTTATGCATGATCTGTGATGCGCCCCCTCTTCCCCCCCTCCCCCTATTTCGGAACACATGAAAGCATTAAATTTTAAAGTGCATACTTAAGATTTCTCCCCAAATAATTGAAAAAGCACAATGGGAGGGGTTATGTAAGGCAAAAGTACTGTGAGCTCCGCAAAAGAAACCAAAGCTACTGTCATCTGCTCTCTGTAGGCCCAGGCAGGCACAGCTTCAACTCAAGGGCTTCACACTTCTATAACTTGTTCTCCTTCCCTCGCTGCTCTCCCTATCCGAACTCTCTCTATACCCGTTTGCCTCTCCCTCTCTCTTCAGCTCTCGATAGTAAAAACTTCAAAGACAACAAGATCTTCTGCAAAAGCATGAAAACTTCAAGTGTGTTTGTTTGTTTTGACCCTGAAGCCCCTTGCTACAACCCTCCACCTCTAACTTGCAAGTCCTGCAAAATACATGAGGAAGAGAGACCAAATCCACAACTGCTTTTTTTTTCCTTCTTTTTCTCCCTCCTGCCTGCCTGCAACCTTCATTCTTCCATGTGCTACTGTTGTGTAACGTTTGTAGAAAGCAGCTCTGGCATACGCCACTGCAGCTACTACAATGACCTCACAAAACTGATGACAAAGTATGAAGTTTCTTGTGAGAGTATCAACTTTTCAAATTGTGAAAAGTTCTATATTTTACAAAAAAAAGTGAAGAAAATATCAATACCACGCTAATGTACGTGCGGGCACACCGTGAACACACGCATGCTTCAGCACTGACTCATCTAGTTTTGGCTTCTGCAGGTGTCTGGGTTGAGGACTAAAGTCATGATTTCTTTTTGGGAAGTACAAAAGGGTCTCATCCATCAGCAGGTTGCTGCCCCTGATCAGGCCCAGATCTGTCGTAACAGGGAAATAGAGATGATAAAACCTTGTAAAAAATACAATACAGTGAAAACTATAATGTCAAAAGTTACCTTAGATGACACTAAAGCTATATCAGAAGAGACCACTCAAGTTTATAGTGTTCTCTCGTCTTCGTGCAGAAGAATGTTGGTTGGATCAGTACAATGCGATTGACCTTGGAAGGCATGCTGAGGTATAAAGCATGCTTTTCACAGGCATCACTTTATATACACTGAGCTTTAACAGAGAATATTCTCATTCACTGCAATTATTGTGTTTTCAAAGAAACACGCACAAAAACATAAACACATCCGTCTCTAAAAATGTGTTTATTATGTTTCTAACCAGCCATCAAAACACCAGCGCCGTCTATTTCACTGCTTACTGGAGTTAGAGATCCTGTTCTGTGAAGAGATTAATCTATATTCCATGCAACGCGCTTGATTGTTCATTTATGTAGTCTATACTGTGTGTGTGAGAGTATGTGTGTGCTCTGTGTTTAGCAGTTCTGCCCTCTAATAGTTGAGACATCTATAGCATCCACAGCAAGGCCAGGGGAGCAAGGGAGCAATCCATAGGCCTGCGTAGCCATGGCAACTAAACAAGGAATAGGCTAGATGTCAGGCGAGCATGGCTAAATTACCCATTAGAGAAAGCAGGACGGGGAGAGAGGGAATACTGGTCAGGGCACAAGAGGCTAATGGGGAGATAAGATGGCCAACATATAGACTACACACACGTACACACACACACACACACAAAGGTGCACATGGTCACACACAAACAAACAAACAATGGGAAAACAGACAGAGGTTGTCACATAAACGTGCCGTGAGAAAACATACTCAAATGAGAAGATACAATGTAAAGTGCGCATACAAACACAATGCATGCATTTATTAACACAGTCATAAACATGCTGATGTGCACATTGGCAACTACATACTTGCACACACACAAACACACACAAATGCAAAAACACACGGGCACACACACACACACACCAGCATACACACACAAACACACACAAATGCAAAAACA